CGTGCCAGGTGAGCTAACTAGGAGCAATTTAGGAGAAATATATTCTGGAGAAGTTCTTGAAATGTTGTGTCTTCTTTTGCCCGCACCCTGGGATACCGACATTCTTCAAACATTACAACCGTCGTTAATATAGTATATGAACAGTAAATAAATAAACGCGTGTAACACACATCGTACAGTCCCGACAGGTAGGCGACAGGTGACAACTGTTCATTACAGGTGAACAGGTGTCAGCGGCTCAGCCAACCGTAACAAACATTGACATTGCACCAAACAGTTTTCTAGCAGTAATTAAACCATGCCGATCATTAACACACGTACGCAGCCACAATATGATTAAAAACTCACATATCTTCCTCCATGAACAATTTGGTGCCGGTTGGAGCGGTCAAATGGGGGTAAATTCACATATTCATCAGAGGCAGTGAATGCACGTCCACCCTGTATCAAGGGCAGATCATCGCACAGGCGCGTCCTTAAATGACCTTCTCGGTTAATAGGATGTTAAACAAAATTAAACCAAACCAAATCAGGCCCCATGTAAGGATGGTGTGAGACACTTGACACCAATATTCTCTACAATATCAAAACATGAACTTTGACCTTACCATCCTCAGTATCAACCTCTATTTCCACGTCAGGTTCCTCAGTGCTGCCCCCTAGGATCCAGCTTAACCACCCCTGATTGGCCTTCTCCCGCTCCCGTCGTTCCTTCAATTTCTTCCGAGCTCTTCCAGGGGCCTCGGAAGCAAACTATGTCCAAAAAAAAAAAGTTTACTGTCGATGATAATTAACTTAATCATTCGTTTTGTAAGTTGAAGTCGTGAAAGAATTGTTTACAATTCCCAACTGACTTGTATTAACCTTAAGCTATTTATTTAAACAGCTTTGATTTCATCAAATAATTGACATTCAAATGTTTTAATGAAAATAAGTACACAATTATCCCTGTACAGAATTTCTGATTTCCTAGCTCCCAGGTCTTGCAATATCATACAATGTATGTTAACTCACTTGAATTAGAAAGCTCAGCTTAAAATATACACAATTCGATTATTGAGGCCCTTTGTTATCCAAAACCAAAGACACCAGGAATTATTTTGTATGAGTGTTTTGTTCATACTTTTCCATCCAACTGTTATCGGGAGTCTTAACCAGGACCAATCACGTCATAATCTCAAATTCATACTTTGATCGAAATCTGAAATGAATTATTTCTGATCGACAGTACCTTGTTCCATCAAAATTGACAGTTCCGCCATTTAGAAGATTAGCTTTGTTTAAAATACATTAAGAACCAGAAGAACACCAACCAAAGTGATCTTTGTATTGAATCTATCTATATCACAATTATGGTGCACACCATATAATGTATGACTGTATGGTCCTCACTTGTTGACATGGCCTCCAACTACCATGCATCGAGGCATTCAATTACGGTGCACACTGTATAATGTATGACTGTATGGTCCTCACTTATTGACATGGCCTCCTACTACCATGCATCGAGGCATACAATTAAGGTGCACACTGTATAATGTATGACTGTATGGTCCTCGCTTGTTGACATGGCCTCCTACTACCATGCACCGAGGCATACAATTAAGGTGCACACCGTATAATGTATGACTGTATGGTCCTCACTTGTCGACATGGCATCCTACTACCATGCATCAAGGCATACAATTAAGGTGCACACTGTATAATGTATGACTGTATGGTCCTCACTTATTGACATGGCCTCCTACTACCATGCATCGAGGCATACAATTAAGGTGCACACTGTATAATGTATGACTGTTTGGTCCTCACTTGTTGACATGGCCTCCTACTACCATGCACCGAGGCATACAATTAAGGTGCACACCGTATAATGTATGACTGTATGGTCCTCACTTGTTGATATGGCCTCCTACTACCTTGCATCGAGGCATACAATTAAGGTGCACACCTTATAATGTATGACTGTATGGTCCTCACTTGTCGACATGGCATCCTACTACCATGCATCAAGGCATCCAATTAAGGTGCACACCGTATAATGTATGACTGTATGGTCCTCGCTTGTTGACATGGCCTCCTACTACCATGCACCGAGGCATACAATTAAGGTGCACACCGTATAATGTATGACTGTATGGCCCTCACTTGTTGACATGGCCTCCTACTACCATGCATCGAGTCATACAATTAAGGTGCACACCGTATAATGTATGACTGTATGGTCCTCACTTGTCGACATGGCATCCTACTACCATGCATCAAGGCATACAATTAAGGTGCACACCGTATAATGTATGACTGTATGGCCCTCACTTGTTGACATGGCCTCCTACTACCATGCACCGAGGCATACAATTAAGGTGCACACCGTATAATGTATGACTGTATGGCCCTCACTTGTTGACATGGCCTCCTACTACCATGCATCGAGGCATACAAATGTTTCATACCATCATAAATGTGATGTATTTCCATCCTGAAATAAAATAACAGGAGCATGAAATTTTTGTGATAAGAAAATCAATATTGACCTTGACCTTGGCCTCCTCCCTTGCGGCTATGATGTTGCAGAGGTCCATGTCGGCCTCGAGTTTTTTGAGATCCTCCTGTAAGGTTTTATTGTCTGGGTACTCCATATGAGTCTTGTACATTTGCCCATAGCGAACTACCTTTTTCCTGTGCAAAAAAATAATTAAAAATATATAAAATAAAATAAAAAAACATTTTTTGTTTCTCCTTCTGAAAATAACATACAAGAAAGAACTCTTTACAGTCACTGATAAACAAGATGGTACTATCTAAACCAACTGTACTGCAGCGAACATGTGGAAAGTTCAGCTTAAAATGTGGAAAACTGTAGAACCAAACGGTAGACCAATTGACCATCAGCATGAAAACCAATGCAGGTCTGAGAGAACTGCTTACTTCATAGACCAAGGTTTTTTTTACGTTATTTCATATGATGTATATGATTAAATGATAAATACATTAGTTAGATAAAAGGTGTCATGTTTAATTATTTTACTTCCTTCATTACTACAGATATTTTCTATTTAATGTTATAAATACTAAATATATATGTAAACGTTTCTTAGTCAATGTCTTGTCAATGGAAATTTCAGGAGGTCTACAAGAAAACTGTATTTCATCGACCTATTGTCTATGGTGTATAAATCCTAAACTCTAAGACTGGGTGAGGGCAGAAAACTTGATAATCCTTCATAGCAATTAAATCTGTAAATTATGCCTATTCTCCACAAACTTAGGTCATTCATAAGGGCAGACAAATCAGCTATGCTTCACAGTTCTATGATATATGATGGTAAGGGAAGACAACTCACCTACTCCTCAGCCCTATGATATCTGATGGTAAGGGAAGACAACTCACCTACTCCTCAGCCCTTTGATATATGATGGTAAGGGCAGACAACTCACCTATGCTCCACAGTATTATGATTTCTAATTGTAAGGGCAGACAACTCTCCTATGCTCCTCAGCCCTATGATATCTGATGGTAAGGGCAGACAACTCTCCTATGCTCCTCAGCCCTATGATATCAGATGGTAAGGGCAGATAACTCACCTATGTTACTCAGCCCTATGATATCTGATGGTAAGGGCAGACAACTCACCTATGCTCTGCAACCTTTGTCCATTGGTGAGGACGTATTCTTTCCTCCACTACTGCAGTATAAGCGTAGTGCCACCAGGCCTTACGATTGAAGCGTACTGGAGTGTTTGGATGGTATCTACGGTAACGCCTGTTGATTTGTACACGACGACTGGCATCGATCCACTTCAGTAAGTTCAGGTACTGGACAGGTGCAACAAACATTAAGATAAGTTATACTTACAAACCTAGTTTGACCTCTTGAACTTGTATATAGATTATAATTTATTGATCTATCATGAAATTATAATTTTACATTTACATACAATTTAAGCAGATTGGTCCAAAACTCGCATTCATATATGAATTTATAATCTTTGATGTTAACTATGACCTCTAGCGTGAAATATTGACCTCAAATTTGACCTTTGACCTCAATAATAAGTAAATTTACCTGGTGTCTGGAGAAAAAGCACATGATATCGGGGAGGGAAAACTCCACGTAGATTCGCGGCATCACAAAGGTATCCTCCTTATTCATGATGACCTTGGCCTTGACAGTCACTGGACGTAAGACTGTAGGTAAAGGTCAAAGGTTAGAGCTGTATAACTAATAACCAACATAATGCTGACTTTTAATACAGGGTTTTATGTTTCATGGAAAAACTTTAACTACAACAATTTTTAAAGCTATAAACCCTATCAATAAAACTGTATGATAAACTGTACTTTTACAGTATACAGTGCCGTCTCAACCAACAAATCTCTGTGACCAGGAAAGGCTGGTGTGCAGTCAGCTCCAGATTAAAGAGAGTGACCTCTTTGTACAAACTGCCTATTTGTCAGAACAGATTCTTTTGACAACTTTGGAAATTATACAGCATAACAGTTATATCTTATGAACGCTCCAAGCTACCATATTCTTCATTTATACTAGAGGACATATTCAAAGTTATTTATACTCACAGATTAAAAAAGCCTTTCATTAATGAACATTTTTGTTCTGCATTTAATGGATAGACAATATGGATTAAAGATACAAAGCTTACAAATGCTTGTAAACAATGTACCTTGTAAACAACATACCTTGTAAACAATATACCCTTTAAACAATATACCTTGTAAACAATATACCTTGTAAACAATATACCCTGTAAACAATATACCTTGTAAACAATATACCCTGTAAATAATATACCTTGTAAACAATATATCTTGTAAACAAATACCTTTATAAATTTACTACATATTTTAATAAAAGAAACACACAACTTATATTATTCTCATGTTAGCCTATACTGTTGTCTATAAAAGTTAGCTTATGTGTGACGGATTATCAATTACGGATGTGAATTACTTACTGTGTGTGAAGGACTCCTCTCGTATTCTGTTGGTTGCTATGGACTGTTTCAGCAGGTTCTGTAAACGGAGATAATCAAATAAATTTTCTTCTTTTAATTTTTTTGTCTCAGTCAATTTTCATTTAATTTCATCTGCAGCTGCTTTAGATACAATGGGAAATCGTCTTTCGGGCCATGTATCTGTACGTGAATGTGACTTTCGGGCCGTGTATCTGTACGTGAATGTGACTTTCGGGCCGTGTATCTGTACGTGAATGTGACTTTCGGGCCGTGTATCTGTACGTAAATGTGACTTTCGGGCCGTGTATCTGTACGTAAATGTGACTTTCGGGCCGTGTATCTGTACGTGAATGTGACTTTCGGGCCGTGTATCTGTACGTGAATGTGACTTTCGGGCCGTGTATCTGTACGTAAATGTGACTTTCGGGCCGTGTATCTGTACGTAAATGTGACTTTCGGGCCGTGTATCTGTACGTGAATGTGACTTTCGGGCCGTGTATCTGTACGTGAATGTGACTTTCGGGCCGTGTATCTGTACGTAAATGTGACTTTCGGGCCGTGTATCTGTACGTAAATGTGACTTTCGGGCCGTGTATCTGTACGTGAATGTGACTTTCGGGCCGTGTATCTGTACGTGAATGTGACTTTCGGGCCGTGTATCTGTACGTAAATGTGACTTTCGGGCCGTGTATCTGTACGTAAATGTGACTTTCGGGCCGTGTATCTGTACGTGAATGTGACTTTCGGGCCGTGTATCTGTACGTGAATGTGACTTTCGGGCCGTGTATCTGTACGTGAATGTAACTTTCGGGCCGTGTATCTGTACGTAAGTGTGACTTTCGGGCCGTGTATCTGTACGTGAATGTGACTTTCCAGAGTTTTACTTATTATGGTAAATGTCAAATTTCGACTTAATAATTGCTTGGAATTACAAACTAATTAATTCCTGGAGAAAGATGATGTTTAGGGTGATACATATCACATCAGTAGAAAGCTATCATGATATATACCCTATGTCTGTCATACCTTCCAGACATGTGACTGGAGTCGTTTCTTCTTGCCGACCAGGTCAGCCTCCTGGACATAGTGATTCCAGTAGAGGGACAGGTCTGTCAGACTGCCCAGTTTGTGAAGTATGGTGGCCGAACTGTCCACATCCGCGTCCTCCCATCGGTCATTGGTTGTGTGGACAGTAAAACTCTGCAGCATGGCGCCCACTGCGAAGGAGTAGTCGCCGTTGGTGATGGAATCCTCGTACCTAATGTGAACATTCCTAATGGTGATCTGTGGGCGAAAAAAAACATAACAGTAAACAAGAGGACTGGGTGGGGCAGTGGATAATAGCTGCACACTCGCTTTTCACCAAGAAAGCCCAGGTTCAATTCCCCAAGGTTACTCGCTTTTCACCAAGAAAGCCCAGGTTCAATTCCCCAGGTTACTCAGTTTTCCTCCCACAATAAGACCTTCTGCACACTAACACATTAAGACTCCCTGCATACTAACATCCGAGCAAACAAAAGTGAAATTGATATAAGTTGTTTCTCAATTGTTGTAAAATGAATTTTATAACTTAAAAAGAACACCATCACAGAGGTTTTGTCATAGAATTTCACTTATAATGATTTAAAATAAGTTCACTTTTAAATTTCAAAAATATAAAAAAATTTTGTGTAAATTAAAACTGTCTTACAAGGTTGTGTTTCAACGACCTACCTGTATGTTGTTGAGGATATATTTTCCAAGTTTCTCAAAGAACCCTGGATTTTTGGCAGCTTGGTCCACTATAAATTGAGACAAAAAGAAATATCAAAATTAAAACTGTGAATTTCCAAGAGACAGTCTGTGACTTCTAAATGCACACAGTACGTATATACAGACTCTTATTTACAAAGTACTACTGAAATGATTAAACAAGGTTTTAGTTATCATAAAATTATTATTGGATATGATTAAATAGTATTGATAATAATGACTTTGGGTAAAATTAACACAACTTTTATAAATGATGTCATTTCCCTTTAAAAGAAATATTTTAAGGATCCCTGTCCCACTGCACTGTAGTTTTTCATTTACACAGTAACCTCCCCTTAACTTCCAAGGGACATAACTGTAGCACAGTTGGGTCCTGTCACTTTCAATGACTGGGTAGCTTATGATCAGTCGGTTACAGCCGAAGCACATGTATAACAGTCTGAAGTCCTGGGTTCGAATCCCAGTCTAGCCCAACTTTATTTTTACACTCACATACCTGTCAACCTTTCAGCATACAAATCAGGGTGATGATCGACCCTCTTTGGGGTTTTCAAATCAGGGTCATAATGCGTAGCTTCCTTTCTCGTCCTCTTTTGATATACTATACCCATTATGTATATGGAAACCAATGTATTAAACAACAATTTTACAACTTTAAATGTGACTTTTATTATAATTCATGGTTGCTGATTTTGCTGCCTTCACAGGGCTCACCCTGGACCTAAAAAATCAGTAGCCAAAAAAGTAGCCATGTTTGAATTTCAGTTGCCAATTTTTTTTTAACAGGGGCCATACTTTCTCGGCCTCCAACTGTTACGGATAGGCCCTCCATTAAAATCATTAAATATTCAATAATTTTTAAAGTGCAATACTATTCAACATGATGTTAAATTAAAGAGTACTCTGTAAAATTAAATTAAAATGAGAGAAAAATCAGACTTTATCTCATTTTCTTGACACAGGAATTGAGAACAAATCTAGGTTGAAAAGTTCAAATTTTAAGATATTATTTGCCTTTAATTCTGTACCTTCAAAAAACAAGAGGCCCAAAGGCATTAGCGGTCACCTGAGTTATATCATAGGAACTGGTAGCTTTATTTTGTTGTTTAGATGTGATGTGGAAATCAGCATGTAAACTAAGCGAAATACAATACTTGTCATGTCATCAAAGGATAAGAATTTGAAAATATTGGTAAATGTTCCCTTTGGGGCCCCGCCCTAGCCCCTGGGGATGGGGCAGGAATCCCAATTTTACAAAGTAATACTCTCATTCACCAAAGATGATTCTGACTAAGTTTGAGTAATTTTCTGTTGAAAATGGATAAAATATATACCCAAAAGTGTTATTTCCCTATATAAACTATAGTAAACTTTACCCCCTCCCCAAGGGAGAACAAATAGCTTGGGGGTTCTGAAATTAACGATTTAAATAAAGCCCCTGATGATTTTCTTTCCATGCAGAGAAAATGAACGTAGTACCTCTGAGTCTGGAGAAGAAGTTTTAGAAATACTGGTTAATTTTCCCTTTGGGGCCCCGCCCTGGCCCAAGGGGTTGGGGTAGGAATCTCAATTTTACAGTTTGAAATTATCTTCCTCCAAGGATAATTCTCACCAAGTAAAAATAATTTCCTACAGAAAGTTGTCAAAATATTCCCAAAAGTGTTATTTCCCTATATAAACTATAGAAAACTTTACCCCCTCCCCAAGGGAGAACGAATAGCTGGGGGTCCTGAAATTTACAATTTAAGTAAAGCCCCTGATGATCATTCTTTCCATGCAGAGAAAATGAGTGTAGTACCTCTGAGTCTGAAGAAGAAGATTTTTGAAATATTGGTTAATTTTCCCTTTGGGGCCCCGCCCTGGCCCCAGGGGTTGGGGTAGGAATCCCAATTTAACAATTTTGTAGCCTCATCTACCAAGGATGACTCTGACCAAGTTTGAAAAAAATCCATCCACTGGTTCTTGAGAAGAAGTTGAAAATGTAAAAAGTTTACGCACGACGCACGACGCACGACGACGGACAGAAAGCGATTAGAATAGGTCACTTGAGCAAAGCCAAGGTGACCTAAAAATAAAAATAAATAAAAAGTAGCCTCAGTGATGCAATATTGATAATTGTTTTTCCTGTGTTTACATTCACCGTTATTCATGTTTTATGTAAAATAAATATATAAGGGTTTTTTAAAAGATCACACATTTCAAATGTAAATGGCATTAGAACACATTTGAAAGGAAAAGTATGAATTATGAATACCATGTACACTAATTTAAATATACTGAACCAATAAATTTGTTGGATGCGGTGTTTGAATGAGTTTATCAGATCGGCTTACGGCGCCGTCAAATGTACGTGTGCGAGACCACCTATGTGTGACTCGCTTATCAGACTGTTTTCTCAACGTCAATGGGTCTTTCAATTAACTTGACCCCACTGTCCATTATTGTACAAGAATTATAACACCTGTTGCTATCTGAAGCTTGATAATTGACTTTACAACTTAGACAAAAGCATTAATTAACTCGCAGTCGTACAGCGCGTGCTGATCTGTGACGGCCCTGATTATGTTTACACACGTGAGCTCGAGAAGACGGATCGTTGACTGGAACAAAGATACAGAGTTTCACTATTTAAAAAAAACTTAGTAGTCAATTTAGGCTAGGTTTGAGAATCCGGGTCTTTTCGGGTCATAGATTAAAAAAACGGGTGAAATGATGACCCATTCGGTGGAGGGTCTTGTTCCGGGTGTGACCCAGACAATCCAGGTGGAGTTGACAGGTGAGTTGACAGGTGTGCACTCAGAACACTGATGTTGATTATAGTTTTTTGATTTCACCTTTGATTTTTTCATAAAAGCCCCACTAGGTATAATTGTTTGTTTTTTTAGAATTAGTTACAGTTTTTGGCAGTGGTACGGGGATCCTTAAGTAGACAATACTTTGTTACAGTTTCTGGCAGTGGTACGGGGATCCTTAATCAAGTAGACAATACTTTGTTACAGTTTTTGGTATGGGGATCCTGAAGTAGACAATACTTTGTTACAGTTTTTGGCAGTGGTACGGGGATCCTTAAGTAGACAATACTTTGTTACAGTTTTTGGTACGGGGATCCTTAAGTAGACAATACTTTGTTACAGTTTTTGGTACGGGGATCCTTAAGTAGACAATACTTTGTTACAGTTTTTGGTACGGGGATCCTTAAGTAGACAATACTTTGTTACAGTTTTTGGTACGGGGATCCTTAAGTAGACAATACTTTGTTACAGTTTTTGGTACGGGGATCCTTAAGTAGACAATACTTTGTTACAGTTTTTGGTACGGGGATCCTTAAGTAGACAATACTTTGTTACAGTTTTTGGTACGGGGATCCTTAAGTAGACAATACTTTGTTACAGTTTTTGGTACGGGGATCCTTAAGTAGACAATACTTTGTTACAGTTTTTGGTACGGGGATCCTTAAGTAGACAATACTTTGTTACAGTTTTTGGTACGGGGATCCTTAAGTAGACAATACTTTGTTACAGTTTTTGGTACGGGGATCCTTAAGTAGACAATACTTTGTTACAGTTTTTGGTACGGGGATCCTTAAGTAGACAATACTTTGTTACAGTTTTTGGTACGGGGATCCTTAAGTAGACAATACTTTGTTACAGTTTTTGGTACGGGGATCCTTAAGTAGACAATACTTTGTTACAGTTTTTGGTACGGGGATCCTTAAGTAGACAATACTTTGTTACAGTTTTTGGTACGGGGATCCTTAAGTAGACAATACTTTGTTACAGTTTTTGGTACGGGGATCCTTAAGTAGACAATACTTTGTTACAGTTTTTGGTACGGGGATCCTTAAGTAGACAATACTTTGTTACAGTTTTTGGTACGGGGATCCTTAAGTAGACAATACTTTGTTACAGTTTTTGGTACGGGGATCCTTAAGTAGACAATACTTTGTTACAGTTTTTGGTACGGGGATCCTTAAGTAGACAATACTTTGTTACAGTTTTTGGTACGGGGATCCTTAAGTAGACAATACTTTGTTACAGTTTTTGGTACGGGGATCCTTAAGTAGACAATACTTTGTTACAGTTTTTGGTACGGGGATCCTTAAGTAGACAATACTTTGTTACAGTTTTTGGTACGGGGATCCTTAAGTAGACAATACTTTGTTACAGTTTTTGGTACGGGGATCCTTAAGTAGACAATACTTTGTTACAGTTTTTGGTACGGGGATCCTTAAGTAGACAATACTTTGTTACAGTTTTTGGCAGTGGTACGGGGATCCTTAAGTAGACAATACTTTGTTACAGTTTTTGGTAGTGGTACGGGGATCCTTAAGTAGACAATACTTTGTTACAGTTTTTGGTACGGGGATCCTTAAGTAGACAATACTTTGTTACAGTTTTTGACAGTGGTACGGGGATCCTTAAGTAGACAATACTTTGTTACAGTTTTTGACAGTGGTAGTACGGGGATCCTTAAGTAGACAATACTTTGTTACAGTTTTTGGTACGGGGATCCTTAATTAAAGTTTAACCAAAACAAAGGACATTTTCACATTATATTAACCTCCCAAAACACAAAAATATTACTATAGCAACTATTTACTTTTCTTTAATTAATAATAAGACTTTCATATAAATAGCTAATATAATTAATATAATCTCCTTGATAGCTTAATTCAATGTATTGATAGAAAAAACTCACAATTGGGGGCCTTTCATTAGGACTCAAAATATTTATTTTATAAGAACTTACCCACAGTTTTGAAAGTTGACCGTTCAAAAGCACGTAGTTTCGCTTGTTTGATGGCATTTTCCAGATCTCGGTCCTTTTTTCCCTCGTATGGCCGGTCATTAATGGGTCCTAGCAGTACGTAAAGGCCATCCAGTTCCAGCTGGACATTGGCAGAGAACAGGTTCGACCAGGGGAATGAGAACTTGATGTAGTCTGTAATTATTTAATATAAATATATAATCAATATATATATAAACATGTCTTCAGTAATAAAAATTACATTTTAATCCATTTCTATTCTGTTATCAACTGATGTATACAGTCAAGCCTTGTGATTTAAGGTTAAAACAGCTTTAACTGCTCGCGACCTTGTGTCGTCTTGCCTGCCAGTTAGTTGGAAATCCTTAAGCTTCATCCATTTATTTACAGGAAACCTCAGATACAAAGTTAAATTATAATGAAAGCCTGAATTAATGATTACTTAGCTCCTATAAGGTTCTTATTGTTACATATTAAAACAGGAAAGGTCATTGTGTGATAAAGTCAAACAGGAAAGGTCATCGTGTGATAAAGTCAAACAGGAAAGGTCATCATGTGATAAAGTCAAACAGGAAAGGTCATTGTGTGATAAAGTCAAACAGGAAAGGTCATTGTGTGATAAAGTCAAACAGGAAAGGTCATCGTGTGATAAAGTCAAACAGGAAAGGTCATCATGTGATAAAGTCAAACAGGAAAGGTCATTGTGTGATAAAGTCAAACAGGAAAGGTCATTGTGTGATAAAGTCAAACAGGAAAGGTCATCGTGTGATAAAGTCAAACAGGAAAGGTCATCATGTGATAAAGTCAAACAGGAAAGGTCATTGTGTGATAAAGTCAAACAGGAAAGGTCATTGTGTGATAAAGTCAAACAGGAAAGGTCATCGTGTGATAAAGTCAAACAGGAAAGGTCATCGTGTGATAAAGTCAAACAGGAAAGGTCATTGTGTGATAAAGTCAAACAGGAAAGGTCATTGTGTGATAAAGTCAAACAGGAAAGGTCATCGTGTGATAAAGTCAAACAGGAAAGGTCATTGTGTGATAAAGTCAAACAGGAAAGGTCATTGTGTGATAAAGTCAAACAGGAAAGGTCATCGTGTGATAAAGTCAAACAGGAAAGGTCATCGTGTGATAAAGTCAAACAGGAAAGGTCATTGTGTGATAAAGTCAAACAGGAAAGGTCATTGTGTGATAAAGTCAAACAGGAAAGGTCATCGTGTGATAAAGTCAAACAGGAAAGGTCATCATGTGATAAAGTCAAACAGGAAAGGTCATTGTGTGATAAAGTCAAACAGGAAAGGTCATTGTGTGATAAAGTCAAACAGGAAAGGTCATCGTGTGATAAAGTCAAACAGGAAAGGTCATCATGTGATAAAGTCAAACAGGAAAGGTCATTGTGTGATAAAGTCAAACAGGAAAGGTCATTGTGTGATAAAGTCAAACAGGAAAGGTCATCGTGTGATAAAGTCAAACAGGAAAGGTCATCGTGTGATAAAGTCAAACAGGAAAGGTCATTGTGTGATAAAGTCAAACAGGAAAGGTCATTGTGTGATAAAGTCAAACAGGAAAGGTCATCGTGTGATAAAGTCAAACAGGAAAGGTCAACAGGTGATAAAGTCATACAGGAAAGGTCATTGTGTGATAAAGTCATACAGGAAAGGTCATTGTGTGATATAGTCAAACAGGAAAGGTCATCGTGTGATAAAGTCAAACAGGAAAGGTCATCATGTGATAAAGTCAAACAGGAAAGGTCATTGTGTGATAAAGTCAAACAGGAAAGGTCATTGTGTGATAAAGTCAAACAGGAAAGGTCATCGTGTGATAAAGTCAAACAGGAAAGGTCATCATGTGATAAAGTCAAACAGGAAAGGTCATCGTGTGATAAAGTCAAAACAGGAAAGGTCATCGTGTGATAAAGTCAAACAGGAAAGGTCATTGTGTGATAAAGTCAAACAGGAAAGGTCATCGTTGGATAAAGTCAAACAGGAAAGGTCAATGTGTGATAAAGTCAAACAGGAAAGGTCATCGTGTGATATTAGTCAAACAGGAAAGGTCATTGTGTGATAAAGTTGAATCACATAGTTAAGGCTGTATGTTTTCTGTACAAATAACTTTCCAATCTACATCTTCGTCATATTCTTTCTGAGTTCACAAATTTAGGAGCTTTGCTGACCGTGTATCAATGCCTCTTGATTGCCACACTGTAGTGAAACTGCTGAGTCAGTTGAAATTTGTAATCAGCAGGGAAAACACTCATTCCTTTGTAATTCTTTTCCATTCTGTTTCTAATTTTGTTTTTCTTATGCTCCAACCAAGCACAACACCATGCTAATTATGGATTAATAATTGTTTTGGCAAATATTGCTGTATTTACAGAGATCATGTAGAATCTCTCAAGTCAAAAGGTGAACTTGACCAAGCCTCAGTATAGATCTCGAGATACCAAAATGTTGTCAATTGCAAATATTTTGTAAACTGTGTGCTAGCTTGCACCTAATTTACAAGTGGCAAAATATTTACATTGCTAATTTTTTCTCCCTTGATGATTTTCCAATATGATTATGCTTCGAGAAGAATTATAGTAAAACTCAGCTTTTCTTGACAAATAAACATTTTTTCAGCAACACAATACATCAGAAGGTTGTGGTGTCAACACAGAAATAAAGCTGATGTTTAACTTGGCCTCTTCATACTAGTTTAGAATGATTACTGTCTATTGTTGGGTTGCCAAAACAGGCACATCTGTGTCGAAAATCAATACTAATCACTCTTACAGTACATGTCTTGAACTAATTTGATCTCCTCACCCACATAATGTATTTCAAAGACAGTTATAGACCTGCACAGCGATCTGGCAGTCAGGCATTAAAACATCTATAGACCTGCACTTGTGGCACAAAGACATTTATAGAACTAAACAGTGATTGGCATGAAATCATTTATAGACTTGCTCAGTGATTGGGACAAAAACATGTGAAGACATGTGCTTCACAGTGGCACAAAGACATTAATATCGACCTGCACTTGTTGCACAAAAACATTTATAGACCTGTGTTTGTGGTACAAAAACATGTACAGACCAGTGTTTGTGGTACAAAAACATGTATAGACCTGTGTTTGTGGTACAAAAACATGTATAGACCTGTGTTTGTGGGACAAAAACATTTATAGACCTGTGTTTGTGGTACAAAAACATCTATAGACCTGTGTTTGTCATACAAAAACATCTATAGACCTGTGTTTGTTGTACAAAAACATCTATAGACCTGTGTTTATGGTACAAAAACATTTATAAACCTGTGTTTGTGGTACAAAAACATCTATAAACCTGTGTTTAAGGTACAAAAACATCTATAGACCTGTGTTTATGTTACAGTACAAAAACATCTATAGACCTGTGTTTATGTTACAAAAGCATTTATAAACCTGTGTTTCAGGTACAAAAGCATTTATAAACCTGTGTTTATGGTACAAAAGCATTTATAAACCTGTGTTTAAAGGTACAAAAACATCTATAGATCTAAACCTGTGTTTGTGGTACAAAAACATCTATAGACCTGTGTTTGTGGTACAAAAACATTTATAAACCTGTGTTTGTNACAAAAACATCTATAGACTTGTTTGAGGTTACAAAAACATGTAAAGACATGTGTTTGTGGCACAAAAACATCTATAGACCTGTGTTTGTGGTACAAAAACACCTATAGACCTGTGTTTGTGGTTCAAAAACATCTATAGACTTGTTTGAGGTTACAAAAACATGTATAGACATGTGTTTGTGGCACAAAAACATCTATAGCCCTGTGTTTGTGGTACAAAAACATCTATAGACCTGTGTTTGTGGTACAAAAACATGAATAGACCTATGTTTGTGATACAAAAACATCTATAGACCTGTGTTTGTGGCACAAAAACATGTATAGACCTGCACATATGGCACAAATAAACATAATTTGTTTTCTAAGTGCACTCAATGATTTTGCCTGAGGGGAGATTAGTATCTGAAATTGATTGTTGTGCAAATGGAAATCTTAAACTATATTCTAAAATCTTTACAAAAAAATGCTTATTCTGCAAAAGCAATGTTATGTTGGCCTTGTACACAGTTAATTTAGGTTGATGACTTTGAACAATAAAACCCTAGTACCAGTTAAACATGATACGAAAGTTTCCAACATCAGCTGGGTAACCAGTATGTTGTCAATAAACAGATTCAATAGCCGGCATGTGCTTACAAAATGTTTTCAAAAGACTGTACAACAATTAAGATACAGAGAAATTGGCTAATAGCATCCTTTGATCAGCGAATTTGCATTGTTGTTAGGGTTCATTTCAGGATTGGCTCAGATTGGTCTATATAATTGAGCGTTAAACTCGAAACTCATAAAGTACTGGCTGGTGTAGAGCAATTTAAGATATTTATCTTATTATTAAAATAATATATCTCCAAAAATCACAAAGAAAACTACTATTCAAATGTGCAAGGCCAGTATTTATCAAAATGTGGGTTTTCCTTAACCAGACCCAGGATGTCAAGTTCAGGTAATTTATAAATCAACTATAAAAGTGGAAATTATCCTGGTATTGATTTAATGCTTGATGTTCACTTCAAATAAATTATAGCATATTTTTTTTTACATATGAATATATATAAATGGTAAAATTTTATGTTTTGCATAAGTACACTTTAGTGTTATACCGTCATGATCCGTTATTATAAAATAATGTCAGCTTGAAGACCATTCTGAGGTCTGAGGGGGTAAGGGGGGCGGCGGCAAAATCCTTTGACAAAACTACATGTTATTTTATTTTGACTTATATAAGCACCCTTAGATTTAAAACAAATATTAATTTCTACACTGAGATCTTTCATACTGTTGAAGTATTTAATTGACTGTCATATCAAAGGGTTAGTTGAAGAAATAATCTGTTTGTCCTATGTACAATGTGCTTATACAACCCAGAGTGATTAATGCAATACAAGACAAGATTGTTTCATTTTCAATTATTCTAAAAACATGATGTACATGAGGCACAGCTGGTATAAAAATCCTATTAATTTTATTTTATTTGAGATAAAGATTGATTTAAAAAGAATTTCATAAATTCATTGGGTTTCACTTTCAGTGTACATAAGCTTACCTGGTACAAGTTATTTTTGGTGGCTGATTTAAAAA